GGGAAGAAGGGTATCTCAAAGAGAGAAAACAGCGTAAGAAAAGTACAAGGTGCAAATGAAGGATAATAAAGGGTTAAATCTAACTTGAAACTTCAAGGCACATTAAGGATGTGGATATTAAGGAATATGGATGAAAAGGCAGGTCCACAAATGCATTAAATCCCAGTATAATGAACCAAAAATAAATTCACTGTAGTGAAAATTGTGTCATTACTCGTAAATAACTAGAACTTGTATATCTAGCGCCTAACATGTAAGAAATTCAATTCAATTTATTTTTTAAATTCAATTTAATAATCAACTCTTGACAGTGAAATTAGCAATGAGAACAAGTATTTCAAATAACTCATAGAAGCAAGATGACATGCAACAAATGTTATAACAACCGGACTTGCTTCTCCAACCCTTTGGTCTTTTATTGTGCTCACTTTTATTGTGCTCATTTTGGGGAATAAGGGGGATTGGTACATAAAACTCAGGGGTCCAATGATCTAAATTGAAAAATATTGCATGAAAGTTAAATCTTGCAATGTTGTGTGATCACTTGGGGCCAATGTGATCATGAACACAAGTGTAAATGCAGGCAGAGGAGGTGGAAATCTAGGCAATGCAGAATATTTTATATATGTAGTCATTAAAGCGAAAATTTAAAATATTTTTATTATCGTGGAGTAAGGTCAACCAAAAATAAATCTGTGATTCTCCCTCTGTCCGAAACTTAGATAGGAGATCCTAGGAGAAAGGAATCATGTATACATGGTATGATCTAATCTAGATTTTGCTATACATGATGTTGGATGACATAGGTTGAAAGTAAAAAAGATGCAGATGCCGAGAAGGACAGGTGTATTTGGCTTATGGAAAAGAGTAAAATGTAAGCCCCATTAAAAACCAACAACAACCCTAGTCTTCTTTAAGACCATAAGTATGAATATTCTATGATAAAGACACTACCAGTTTGCAACATATGATTATTGAAATCAAGGAAAACGGGAAAACTTTTTTTATGTGCAGCAGAAATTATTAAGGGCATTAAATATAATTAAGTAATAAATGTAGCAGAACAATGTCTAAACTGTGAAGGGCCTAACATTTTACCCCACTTGGAAGCTAACAAGTTAACCTCTACAGTTGCATGGATCTTGACAGAAGACACTAAACTCCTGGGTCAGAGACATAGAACTTTATTACTCAGAAAACAGCAGGCAGCATGAGCTTCATGTTTTCATCGGTTCCTCTTTTTTTTAAATATATTTTATTGATTTTTTTACAACAATGAGAGAGAAACATCGATCAGCTGCCTCCTGCACACCCCTACTGGGGATGTGCCTGCAACCAAGGTACATGCCCTTGACTGGAATCGAACCTGGGACCCTTCAGTCCACAGGCCGACGCTCTATCCACTGAGCCAAACTGGTTAGGGCATCTTTTTTTTTTAATATATATATTTTTATTGATTTCAGAGAGGAAGGGAGAGGGAGAGAGATAGAAACATCAATGATAAGAATCATTGATCGGCTACCTCCTGCACGCCCCCCACTGGGGACTGAGCCCACAAGCAGGGCATGTGCCCCTGACCGAATCAAACCCAGGACCCTTCAGTCCGCAGTCCAACACTCTATCCACCAAGCGAAACTGGCTAGGGCTTCATCGTTTCCTCTTCCCCCCAAATCCCACATGGGCAATGTGGATAGGCCGAGGGTAGAAGCTGCACACGGTGGTACTGTATCACAGCTGAGAACCTCAAGCTTACAAAGCCCAATCTTACTAGTACAAGGGGGTTGGTTGCTAGCAAACCTGCCCACTCATTGCTTCCAGTGCAGGAAGGGAAGAACATTATTTTTAGTACTTCAGATGGCAACTAAGTCTGCCCTCAGCCTTGGACAAAGAAACGATCTGTCTTCTAAGATTGTTTCCTATTCAAACACCCTCAAAAAGACAGTCCAGAACAAAAGCTGTCAATACCTGTGCTCAGAGACATGCAAAAATGCAAGAAACTTAGAGAGTATTGTTTCCTAGCAAACATAGATTAAGTTTCATATGTTCTTATGCTCTTGTTTAACTAAGTAATCCATTTTGACTACTTTATTAAAGAGCCAAAGAAAAATAGAGCAATGTCAGCTTTCCTTAGAGAAGTAAAATAGTAGTCTAGTTATCCACACTAGTATGCATTTTTACTAAAAATACTTAATATGACAGGATAAGTAAAACTTTTAGCTTTAACAAAACATTCACCTTAATGACAAATGATATTTTCAAAGGTTTTAACTAGCAGTACCATGTGAAGTACCTAATGGTTACAAGGCCTAATGCTTTATCAAGTCCAAAGTAAGTAGGTTAGACCCAATTTGTTAGCAAAATATCAATCTTCTTCAAATAGATAAACACTTTAAAAATTTTTTTATTGAGGAGTAACTGACAAATATAATTGGATATATTTGAAGTGTACAACGTGATGAACTGATATACATATCAATGTAGGATGATTATCAAGATCAAGATAATTAACATAGCCATCACCTCATAGCTAACAGGTAACTCTTTTTTTTTTTTTTTTTTTTTTTTTTTGTTAAGCACTTAAAAGAGTACTTACTACTCCTGGAACAGCAGAGATTCATCTTCTTAAAACACTTTTAAAAATTGGCATTATGGGGAGACAACCAAGATGGCGGCATATGTAAACACCTGAATTTGTGCCACGCACAACCACATTAAAACTACAACTAAAAGACAAAATGAACACCATCCAGAACCACGGGAAGGCTGGCTAGGTGGAAATTCTACAACTAGAAGGAAAGAGAAAAGTGCAGAGTCCGGTAGAAGGTGCAGAGGTGTGGAAGTGTGGAGGTAAGGAGGCGGGCGAAAGGGGCTAGCAGCTGGGTACGCTGTTGTCTTTTTCAATCGGGAGGGAGAAACAAGCTCCGGACTGCTCTGTACTCTAGTTCCGGGTGAGAATTTAGGGACCCAGACTCATACTGAGAGAAATTGGACTGTCTGGCATCCGGCAGGAACGTGAGGACGGCTTTCTCGCAGAGATGCTTCCAGCAGTCATTGTTCCTGCACGGGGCTACAGGACACAAACCCGGGGACCTCTCCAAGGCAGAGCAGACTGGCAGCCATTGCGGTTTGCTCCGCCCTGGTGATTTCCTGAGACCCCGCCCCACCCAATTTACAATCCCACCCAAGCTGTGTGCAAAGGCTTTTGCATATGAATGGCCTGGCCTTTCTCTGCCTAAAAACCTAGGCAGACTCAGTGAGCACCAAAGCCCCACTGAAGCAAGTCCTGCCCCATAAGGGTGTCTCCAGCACAGAAGTTCTCCCATTGTAGACACAACTGGTCCTCACAGCCAATTGGCCTGGAGGTCAATTCCACCCAGTGATACCAACAGCAATCAAGGCTTAGCTACAATAAGACTGTGCACACAGCCCACAAAGAGGTGCACCAAGAGTGTCCACCTCAGGTAATTAGGGAGGCTGAGCCACTGGGCCCTATAGGACACCTAGCACACAAAGCCACTCTATCAACACAGGGAAGCATAAAAAATGCAGAGACAAAGAAAGATGAAAGAAATGGAGGAAAGCAAACTACTGGATATAGAGTTCAAACCCACGGTTATAAGGTTACTCAAGAATCTTCTAGAAACCTCCAAGAAATATAGTGAGACCCTCAAGGATATGAAAAAGGACCAATTAGAAATTAAGCATACACTGACTGAAATAAAGAATAATATACAGAAATCCAACAGCAGACTAGGAGATCCCAAGAATCAAGTCAAAGATTTGAAATACGAAGAAGCAAAAAACACCTAACCAGAAAAGCCAAAAGAAAAAAGCATACAAAAATATGAAGATCGTGCAAGGAGCCTCTGGGACAGCTTCAAGCGTACAAACATCAGAATAATAGGGGTGCCAGAAGAGAGAGAGCAAGATATTGAAAACCTATTTGAAGAAATAATGACAGAAAACTTCCCCTACCTGGTGAAAGAAATAGACTTACAAGTCCAGGAAGTGCAGAGAACCCCAAACAAAAGGAATCCAAAGAGGACCACATCAAGACACATCATAATTAAAATGCCAAAGGCAAAAGACAAAGGGAGAATCTTAAAAGCAGCAAAAGAAAAACAGTCAGTTACCTACAAGGGAGTACCCATACAACTGTCAGCTGATTTCTCAACAGCAACTATGCAGGCCAGAAGGGAGTGGCAAGAAATATTCTAAGTGATGAATAGCAAGAACCTACAACCAAGATTACTCTACCCAGCAAAGCTATCATTTAAAATTGAAGGTCATATAAAGAGCTTCACAGATAAGAAAAAGCTAAAGGAGTGCATCACAACCAAACCAGTATTATATGAAATGCTGAAGTGTATTCTTTAAGAGGAAGAAGAAGAAGAAGGTAAACATAAAAATTATGAACAACAAAGTGAAAACAAATACATATCTATCAACAAGTGAATCTAAAAATCAAGTGAATAAAAAATGTGACGAACAGAATAAACTGGTGAATAGAATAGGATCAGAGGCATAGAAAGGGAGTGGACTAACAATTCTCGGGGGGAAGGGAGTGTGGGGTGTGCGGGAAGAGACTGGACAAAAATCGTACACCTATGGACAAGAACAGTAGGGTGGAGGGGTAAGGGCAGGGGGTGGGTTAGGAGCCGGGTGGAGGGGAGCTATGGGGGAAAAAAGAGGAACAACTGTAATAATCTGAACAATAAAGATTTATTAACAGAAAAAAAATTGGCATTGTGTTTCTAATATAATGACTCACTACAAAATATTAAGGTCATAGGAAGGATATGTATGTAGAACAACAAACTTTTAAACTGAGAATGCATTTCTAACAACCATTAAAAATAACCTAAAAAAATAATCTAACAAAATCTTTTTGAAATCACTTTTTGTAGAACAAGTCCATAAACTACTTCAACTTTAAAACTTTTATTTGGACTATTCAAAATTTGAAAAATATAAGGTAGACATTATATATATGACCATACCTCTCCTAGAGCTTCGTATCTTTTCTGATTCCATCTGTGCAAGTCTTCTCGGTAGTTAAAAACAAATGGTTCCCCAGTTTTTATGTGTCTTAACTGTCCCTCTAGAAGATAAACAAACAATATTGCTATGATTCAGAGTAAATGTATAATAATATCGAAAGTACAACTAATGTCTGATTAAAAATTTAAAAGAACTTTCTCAGAACTGTTTCATTTTCATTAGATTTTCTCTTTAAATATCATTATGATACAAACATATAAATATGGCTCCAAGCACTCAAATGCTATGATTTTTTATCTTCATTTTCTAATCTAAAGTAAAGTAACAGTATTTGAGGGCCCACAATATATAAAATATCAGTTCTTAAGCTTACAGGCTACCTGAAGAGTAAAAGCATAAGTATGAAAAAGAAGTTAAACAAGAAGGAAGTTAATAATCTAAAAACTGCCACAGGCAATTTATGAAGTCAAAGAAGTCTAAGATGAGTTTGGATTCATTTGAAGGATCCCTATAGGCTAGAATATGTTCAGAAGGTTTTGGTGAGATTTCTCAACTAGGCTTTGAAATATGGGATGAATTTCAAAGAAAAATGGAGAGAGGAAGTGAGTGAGCCAATACTGGCTTGGACCGTCAAGGCAGACTCACTCAATTGAGAGCTTTTACCGATAATAACTTTACTAATAATTTCAAGGGTTAAAGTGATCAAGAGGAGCAGACAAAACAGGGAGAGAGGTCTGAAAGAGCCTGGGAATTTCTTCCCAGGCCCTTTCCTCTCAGTGGACAGCACTCTCTGGTCCAGAATAGGTGAAGTCTCTATGTGGGTCATACAGCTTACCTTACACATTGGTGAGCATTTAGTTACATAAATACTTCCATTTTATGTGCCAGAGAGTGGTACTGCTATGTAATATTCTTCAAAGAAGCATACCTCACAGTTTCATAGATTAAAGGTTTGTTTACCATAAGCAATACCAATGAGTTATCCTGCTGAGTGTATTCCATGGAGAAGGACTTTCTTCATAGCAAACACTAGTCTGTATTCACTAAAAGATTAAATTGTCAGCATGTTGTCAAGGAGAAAAGAGCAGGCCACCTGTCTTCTTTATTTCCCTAATATTCCCCTGGGAATCAGAAAAGAAATAGACCACAGGCCAATTGCTTTAACTCCCCCTGGTTCCCAGCAACATAAACAAAATTACGAAAAATGGACAGCAAATTCAAATAACAGGAAACAACTCAGTTTAATAGAAACAAAGGAATATTGAGGCAAATACTATGATTTAACACTATTAACACATGTTGGGATCAAATAGGAGAAGGCCCAAATTACTGGGCTTGGACTTTGTCCTAAGAGTAGTGAGACACAAGAAGAGGTTAAGAGGCAGAAGAGGAACATGACCAAGATGAGTGGAGTTAGTATATGATTTTTATCCAATGAGGGCATGCAGGAGTGGAGAAAGACTTGAAAGTTATGGCACTAAAACTGAACCCAGGAAATATACTACTCCAAGTAAAACTACTTCACTATTTTTATGTATCAATTTTACCTCAATAAAATAGATATTTTTAATATATAAAATAAAGGCTAATCCTTTATCATAAAGTTCTTTTTAGTACTCTCAACATGAGACACTACACTGAATCACTATCATATTCTTTGTCATCTGATGTCATAAAAATAGATGTATCTATGGTTTGCTTTCTAGGAAAGGGAAATTCCCATATAAAATATCAATACAAGTAGACTGATGACACCTACAAGTTTAACAATTGTGATTTTGACTAAAGCAGCCTTAAAGGTACATGACATAGTAATGTGTAACAGAAATCTGAAGTGTATTTTCTGAGAGACTACTGTGTGAAAGAGAACTGACTTCCCTAGCTGGTAAGTCAATTTAACAGACCACTTTCATCAACATCTCAAAGAGAAGTTTTTTTGTTTTGTTTATTAATTCTCTACTCATTTTGGACATAATACTTCTCATCTACACTAATAAAAGAGAAACATGGTAATTAGTGTACGACCGCTACCCTTCCCATTGGCTAATCAGCATATCCTTATGCAAATTAACTGTCAGCCAAGATGGCGGGCGGAAGCCATGCACTGAAGTGAACAGCGAGGCTTGCTTGCTCCAGGGACGGCTGACTCCAACATTCCCCGCCTGACTTGCCGGCCTCTCAGCTGCAACTCTAAGCAACTATGTACTATGTAGCAAATATAGAAGCTAAAAAAAAAACATAGAAACTGGCTTTCACTCAGCCAGGCTTCAGCCAGCCTGACCGCAACATTGTATCAATGTTTTCAGCAGCGAGGCCACAGAGCTAAAGCTGGCCCAGAATAAAAAAAAAAAAAAAAGAAAAAAGGAGCGGTTGGGAGCTTCAGTTACCTGCCAGCCGGAAAACGGCCCTCAGCCCCTCAGCCAGACTGGCCAGGCACCCCAATGGGGACCCCCACCCTGATGCAGGAGACCCTTCAGCTGGCCCCTACCCCTCCCCAAGCTTTTATTGATCTGGGATGCACCCATAGCATAGCTTTTAGGCAGGTGATCCCTGGCAACAGGCAGACTAGCCCATCAGCAAG